GGTGGAGGGACAGCGCAGGAGGGGAAGACCCTCTATGAGGTGGACTGATTCAGTGACTGGGGTAATCGGGATGGGAGTGTCAGAGACAGTGCGATTGGCACAGGACAGAGCAGAGTTTAGGGCTGTTGTATATAGGGTCGCTATGAGTGCCAAGCAACTCGATGGCTCATAACAACAGCAAAAGAGAAAAGAATTACAAGAGCTCAGTTTCCTGATGTTCAGCTTTGTGAAATGTGAGAGTAAAATCAAGTTTACTTCTTTTCAGTCTCCATCTGCTATGAACTAAATTTTATTTCCCCAAAATACATTCCGTATGTTCTAACTGTTAAGTCTATAGGGAGCTCTGGTAGCTCAGTGGTAAGGAATTGCTTTGACAAACCAAAGGTATGCACTTCAAATCCACCAGCTGCTCCACAGGAGAGAGATAAGCGATCTCCTCCCATGTGATTTGTTTGTGACTGCATACAGTCAAGTCAGAACTGACCCACCGTTAGGTTTTCAGAGGCAGTTAATCACATGGGAGGAGATTGCCCATCTTTCTCCTGTGGAGCAGCTGGGAGATTTAAACCATGTGCCTTTGGGATTTACAGCACAGCTTCTTACCAGTGGGCCACCAGAGATGCCTCCCTTGTGATTTACAGTCTCTGAAATCCCACCGAAATGTTAACTATGAGACTGGGTAGTACATAACAGTAATCAGTAACGGGCCTACAATTATAATTTCATTCGATCATGGTTGTTGTTGTTGTTATGTGCTGTCGAGTTGCTTGCGACTCATAGCGACCCTATGTACAACAGCCCTAAACTCTGCTCTGTCCTGTGCCAATCGCACTGTCTGTGATACTCCTGTGCCAATTATAGCAGTTACTGAATCAATCCACCTCATAGAGGGCCTTCCCCTCCTGCGCTGTCCCTTCAACCTCCCTAGCATGATGTCCCTCTCCAAGGACCAGTTGCTCTTTACAACATGTCCAAAGTATGTCACACGAAGCTTCAGAATCCTTGCCTCCAAGGATCCACCTGGTTTGACCCTTTTCAGGATGAATCTGTTTGTTTTCTTAGCAGTCCATGGTACCCTCAATACTCTTCTCCAGCACCACAGCTCAAAGACATCAATTCTCCTTCTATCCTCTCTAGTCATTGTCCAACTCTCTGATGCCCAACAAGTGATTGCAAAGGTCATGGCCTGTATCAGAAGCACCTTAGTCTCCAGAGAGACACCATTGCTCTTCAGTACTTTGGAGAGGTCCCTAACAGCAGACTTTCCTATTGCAATACGTTTTTTAATTTCCTGGCTACTGGTGCCGAGAGTGTTGACTATGGAGCCAAGCAAACTAAAGCTGTGAACCATCTCAATCTCTTTACCATCCATCCTGATGCTGCCAATTGGTCCAGTGGTAAGAATCTTTGTCTTATTCACATTGAGCCTTAGTCCATATTGGAGGCTGAAGTCCTTGACCCTCTGCAGCAAGCGCTTCAGGTCCTCCTCAGTTTCAGCAAGCAGGGTTGTGTAATCTGCATAATGCAGATTGTTGATAGATCTTCCACCAATCCTGACACTTCATTTCCCCTCATAGATCCCAGCCTCCTGGCTAATCTGTTCTGCATACAGGTTGAAAAGGTATGAAGACAGGACACATCCCTGGCATACACCCTTCCCAATTTTGAACCATGCAGTATTTCCTTGCTCTGTTCTAATGATTGCCTCTTGGTCCAAGTATAGGTTTTGCATTTTGCATTTTGAGTCAATCTCCTTTGAGAGTTGAAAGAGATTAAAGATGCAAGCCAGGAGGCTAAGGCTAAGGAACAGACACCAAGTCCCATGAAGATCACTCAGAAGTAGGTCAAAAGATTCAAGGCCTTCTGACCTATAAAGCTAACAAAAAGAAAATATCTCGCCCTAAAACTAGTGTCCTGAATTCAATCAATTATCTCAATGAACTGTGAGAAAATAAAATTTGTTACATCCACTTATTTGTGGGATTTAAGTTATAACATCATTAGATAATTAAGATACCATCCCTTCACTAAAAAATAAACAAATAAGGATGACAAAATTTTTGTTAAAAAATATCATGTTACCAATTCAGATAATGCTGTTTCTCTATTTTCTAAAAAGAGAAAACAAAATATCATTGCTATCAAGTAGAGACCACTCATGGCAATCTCACTAGTTGTGGAGTGGAATTCACTAACTCTTGTCTAATCCTGCATTGGGTTTCTGAGACTATACATCACACAAGAAGAGATTACCCATATTTCTCCTTCAGAGTTGCTGATGGATTGAACCACATCTTTGGGTTAGCAGTACAACTCATTATGGACTATACAAAAGCTCAGTAGCAGAGAACTAATTCATAGTATTTTGTCAACTATGATCTTTACAGAAGCTGACTGACCACGAGGCCTATATTTTGCCTTGCTGCTGTATAGATTTGATCTATTGAACTTTAGATTAATAGTTAAATGAAAACCATTTGAACCATTCAATTTCTTGACTCTATATATGCCAGGCCTGAAATCAGACATTATTGAGTGTGATTTTAAGATGGGAGAGTCAAAGTGGGGGCAGAATACATTCCAGAATGTTCATGATGCATCAGGCTCACAGCAAAAAGTCAAAAGGACATTTTAAACCTAGAATAGCATGAAATCAAGACCAAACCTAACCCAATATAATTATTTCACAGAAACAGAGGTTAGAGAGGACAGTCTTAGATGTGTGTATGTTCAAAAACCAATGCAAAGTGGATCAAGAAATTAGGAGTAAAACCAAGGCCTATAAACTTCATCAAAGAAAAGCCCTAATCCACTATATGAGCAGTCTCCCAAGCATCTTGAAAAACCTAAAACCAGGAGAGAATATAATAAATGAATGGAACTTTCTAAGAATCAAATCCTTATGCATATCAACAAAACTTTGACAGGTTAAAAAGGAAACCCACAGACTGGGGAAAAAGGATTTTGTAATGACATATCTGATAAGGGACTCATATCTAAAATTTATACTCCAGCACCTCAACAATTGCAAACAACCCAGTTCCAAAATGGACACAGGATATAAATAGATACTTCATCAAAGAAGATATTCATACAACAAACAAACACATGAAGAACTGTTCAAAATCCCCAGCTCTAAGAGAGATGCATATCAAAACATCTATGAGGTATCATCTCACCCCTGTAACAATAGCAAAGTTCAGCAAAGCAACAAACAACAAATGCTGGTGAGGTTGTGGAGAAATTGGAACTCATATTCACTGCTAGTGGGAGTGTAAAATAGTGCAACCATTATGGAAGGCAGTGTGGCACTTTGTAAAAAAGTTGGAAATAGAAATACCATTTGACCCAGCAGTTCCACTACTTGGAATATACCCTAAAAAAGACCCACAGCTGCCACCCTAACAGATATATGCACACCCACGTTTATTGCTGCATTGTTCACTGTAGCAAAGAGATGGAAGCAACTCACGTGTCCATCAACAAGTGAATAGAGAAGCTATGGAATACTATGCAACACTGAAAAACAAGGAACTCATAAAATATTATACCAAATGGATGACCCTGGAGGACATTATCCTGAGTGAAACATCTCAATCATTAAAGGACAAATATTGCATAACATCTCTGCTATAAGGCAGGACCGACATGGGGGATGAGGAAAAAACGAAAAAAGAGGGGCTAAATAATGTACACTGCATTGCAACAGATGAAGGGGAAAGAATTGTTTAAGAGGAACATATGATTAGACATGATTTGTATGACAACAGACCAGAATAGGAGGTGCATAGTAAAGTGGACTAAGGGAGGGGTTATGTGAGGAGGGAGGAAATTATGCAACAATGAATGAATGAAATCCATTTTTTTCTGTAAACTTTCATTAAAATAACAATAAAGAATCCCAAAGGTGTGTATGTTATCATTGTGTTATAAAGCATCGCTTGCACATGCCTTTGAAAAGGATTTTCTTAAGTTTTAACTAGGGTGGATATTGTGAGAGAGAAATCACAAAACTAGAGTGAGTACAAATAAAATACTTTAATTAGATATTAAATATTTTTGTGTATATTTATAAGAAGTGCAAAGCAAAGTAATCACCACTTTTGGGTATCCAGTCCTAAGTAAGTCTGAGAGGTTCTCTATTTCTCTCTAAGCTCTCTTCAATTTCCAGACTCCTTGCCTAATTCTGCCCAGCTAGCATCCATGAAGACCAGAAAAATCTCTAGAGGTTTCTTGTAAAAAGCCAAGTGAATGAACAGAATCCACTTAGACACATAAGAGTACTAAGTAGTTCTCTGCCTCTTGCTGAGAACCACACACCTGCTGGATATGTAGTATTATGAAAAGAGAAGGCAGTGTATCAGTTGACAAGTAAAAAGTGTTAACAACATGATTTTTCCCCCTCTTCCTCCTCCCATATTCTAATTGTGGAAGTTTGAAAACGAATAAGGAAGACCCAAGAAGATACAATGCCATAAGACTGTGGTGTTAACAAAGAGTATTGGATATCCCACGAACTGCCAAAAGAACAAATCTGTTTTGAAGGTGGCGCAGCCAGGGTGCTCCTTAGAGCCAAAGATGTTGAAACGTCACCGAATATACTTTCACAAGTTGTCAAGAGGGGCTAACCCTTGGAGAAAGATACCATGCTGGGGGAAAAATAGAGTCAGTGAAAGAGAGGAAGGTCCTCAACAAAACACACTGACACAGTGACTGTAGCAATGGGCCTGAGCGTGACGGAAATTGTGAGGACAGCACAGGATAGGGCAAGGTTCTAAACTATTGTTCTTGGAGTGGCTATGGGTCAACTCAAAGGCACCTGACAACCTCTGCTATCCCAGAGTGAACAGTAAATAAAACACACAGATCACACATTAAATATTTCATGCAAAATCATTCCTTGATCAATGTTTCTATTAATATTAATGCAATTCTTGTGTTTCAAAGGGAGATCAGTAAGAAACACTATAGGTATGCAAATACCATAAATATTGTATACAAAATAAGTGTAAAGGAGGATTTCTCCACCATTAGTGTTAGTTTATTGATACAAAAATGTAATTCTCTGTATATGAATATCATTAATTGCATAAAATGTAAAAACACAAGATTTTGTGTTCCAGCTCTGGTTCAGTCTGAGGAGACTCACAGTGAGCCTCTACAATTGAATAAAGAAGGTCTTGAGCCTGCTGTCATGATTCTGTTGTGTTTTGATTTCCTTCTGGAGTCATGAATTGTACCTTTGGCACAATGAGGGAAGAATTGTTCCTTCGGATGGAGTTGTTTCTCCGGATGGAATTGTTTCTTCGCATGGAATTGCGTTTCCTCAGGGAGTTTTGATGGGAGAGCTCACTCTTCTGGAGGGTCTGAATAAGAATGGAAGGTTTCTCATCTAGCTCTCTGGCACTGCATCGTGGAGCAGCTACTTTGACAGTGTTGCCAAATTTGGAGTAATCCACGGAATACACACCTTCCTCCTCAGTCACGATTGACACGAAGCGGTGGCCCCACTGGATTTCCTCAGCAATGTAGGAGGTTCGTGCTTGTGTAGTAATGCCTGTAGTTTCCACCACGCCTTCGAGAATGACTATCACCTCCAGGTCTTGGTTGACAAGGTCAGTTGCTGAGATATCATACAAGGGGCTGCGCTTGTCAATCACATGGCAAATTATCAAAGGAGCCACCAGGAAAATGTTATTACTTTCAATAGGATTATCAACTGGAATGTCTAGTTGGTGAATAGGCACAATCTCCCCTTCCGGCGTGGTTGTCTTCTTGACCACCTGAATGCGTACTGAGGCACTGATGATCATGCTTTTTCTTAGGTCACCCACTCGAAACATGAAGCACAACTTGCCATTTCGGACAGCAATCACAGCATGGCGGCTGAAAATGAGTGTCTCTGCCCTTCGGTGAGCCTGGGCTGTTTTCATGAAAATGCAGCCCAACATGACTGCATTGATGATTAAACCCACTATGTTCTGGAGAATCAAAACCGTGATGGCCAGAGGGCATTCTTCTGTCATCATTCTTCCTCCAAATCCAATTGTCACTTGTACTTCGATAGAGAAGAGAAAAGCAGAAGTGAAAGATCTGTAGGGAACAGTATCAGAAAGTAATGGAATTAGAGCAAAATTTAAATGATAAAATAGTCTATCAAGATGAAACTCTCACTCTTCCCCCAAAGGCTATTCAATGCTTTTTGATATATTAGGTAGCCTAATGGGTAAAATGTGTCAAATGCGATAATGATTACCCATGATGGACAGTCTTTGGTGGAGTTCCCTGATTAAAACAAGCCTGGAAGCAGGAGTGGCATCCACTTCCAAAATAGCTTGTCTCCGGACTGATGAAAGTTTTACAAATGTTCAGGTTTTCCATTCAGGGTCACTATGAGTCATCTACAACTCAATGACGATTAACGATTAACGACAACAACAACAATGGGTAAAAAGCTGTGCTGTTAACGCAAAAGCAGGTGTTTGGATCCACCAGCTGCTCCATGAGAGAAAGATAAAAGCAGTCTCCTCCTGTGCAATTTACAGCCCCTGAAAAAAACCAATGGAAGTTCAGCTATGAGTCGATGCTAACTTGACTGCAATGAACTGAGTTAAGGTAATTTGTCAAATGCCTAATTGTGAACCCAAACTCTTTTTTGCCATTGTTTTGTATGCACAGTACCTCCAGTACTTCGAGGTCATTCCATAAAGAGTTTCCTTGTGTAAAGCCACTGGTGAAACAAAATAATAAACATCTTCCTGATAGTTTCACAAAGCAAACCATGTTTATTTTAAGAAGAGATCTGCCAATTATACTTTATCATCAGCTTGAAATGATTTGCTACTCTAGATTGAAATCCATAACAGAAGAGATTTTACCAAATAGCATTTTAACTAAGAACTTACTGTGAAATATTTATGAAGTGGCTCAAGTCCTATTGAAAGTAGCAAGTGAACTTTACATTATTTATTACCTTTAAAATGATGCTCATTTGCAAGTATTTATTGTGTACTTGTATATACAAAGCATAGTTCTACAAAGTACGCCAAAACACATCTTTCAAAAATACTGTTTCAATCCATAGCATTATTTTATATAAAGAATATCTTGCCTTTTGGAAAGAAAATTGCTTTCTTATTGAATGTGTTATATTGTTTTCCGTGTTATCTAATGAATAGAATGCTGAAGCTATTAAAAGAAAAATTTGAGGCAGAGATTTGCAAATGTCTATGCCAAGATCTTATAATGAAAAAGAACTCATATCTTCTGAATTCTAGCCAAGAGCTCTGGAAGTAGAAATGGGAAGAGGCCAACAAGTATCAGAATCCCCTGGGGGGACTTTTTCAGCTTGCAAGCCCCCTCCATATCTCAGTGCATAAACACTGACTTGGTAAGTTCAAAATCAAACCTAGTACGACTTTTGGAAAGTTTTCAGGTGATTCTAATTCAGCCCCTGCCACTTTCCATCACCTCACATGTTCGAGTAGCACTAAATTTGATTGTCATTGTCATTAATTTATTCACTTGCTACATTAAAAACACTGTCATGGCTTCTTAATAGAACCAAGATTAGTCCTGCCTTCCTCCCCAACGCTAATTTCAAATTTCTCTGAGACAATCTATGTATATGTCATCTTGTCAGTATTCTAAAAAAGTATTTCTTAATTTCATACAATGAATTAGTAAGGTTTTAAAATTAACTATATTATTAATATACACAATGTACTTTCCTGGGATATCAGGAAGCACAAAGACCATACATAATTGACCGTTTTTGATCAACTTTTAAGATGTGTGTAAATATGTTGCTTTTTCTTTTTCTTTCTGGAGATAAGGATTCATGGAAAACCATGTTAATTACTTCTTGTACTATCCAAATAAAACAAGACCTGCCACATGAACCTAAAACTATGGCAGACAAAAGGAATGGTCTTTGGATGAAGGATACAGACAAAACACTGATTTCTAATAATGACTCTGTATTTCATCGAGCAGTGTAATGATGACTATTATCAAACGTTTTGTCTAACACTTGAGAGAATATTCATTTGCCACACTGTCCACATTGTTTATTTTACAAAGGAATTTAATTTTAAACATCTTATGGTACAAGGCCCATCCTTTTATGGACACCTAACATGCTAAACAATGTCAACAGATGAAAGCATTTAGCTGTGCTTTTGTTCTGCTACAGAGCAAAGCTGAATCATAATGAGAAAGGAGAAATAAAGCTGGTTTACTTCTGACTCAGAGTCATCTACACGAAGAGGAAAGTGAACCACCCTAAAATGAGAATGTAGAGTGTTGTTTAGAAATATTGGTGAGTATCTACTTTATAAAATTGTTACTTATTTGATAATGTAACAGGATATTGAATTTATGAAAGGAAAGGGAATTCAAAGGGTATGATTCATTACTAGCCACCTTTTCAATTCGAAAGAATAGAGATTTTTTTTCCCTTCTCTGTTATTGTTTTTAAAAATTATGTCAAGTTTCTTATGAATACAATATATATTGCTTTAAAGTATAAATAGTACCACAATATTAAAATAAAATCAACAACAACCTTAAAGATAGGCAAGAATTTTTTCATAGGCAGCAAATACAACTGAAAATCAAAATTGATATACTTACAAGGTCAACTTTGTCCTGGTACATTTTCAAGAATTCTCATACTTAACGCTCATAGAAGCAGAAGTACATCAGAGGAGTGAATGAACATGCTTCAGATTATCTCTGATTGGTAAAAAATAAGAGCTAACAGCTTTTATATCTGGCAGCCTCTCTAAAGTCCTTTAAAACATTTATGAGCATAGACTAAATTTATGGTATAAATTAATAAATCACTTAATTACTTAATGTTCATGGAGAAAAGCAATAGAAAAGCTTTATGAATAAAATTTGTCATTTGTTATCTCTTTTTATAAGTGGCTACTGTATAGTTACCAAAAATTTATCTTGATTTGAAAATTAGTTCACTGATAACTGTGCCACTATGTTTCCTAAAGAGAAAACATTATAACAACTATTTTTGACATCCAACTACCTGTTACATACAGTACTTTAATGGTTTTCTTATTATCATCTATGTTTTTACCTAGATTTTATTTTGAAATAAACATTTGCCTTGAAAAGCAAGTAATGTTTGCTCAATGGTGTGATCATGTCGATACAGCTCTCTCTTCTCATGATACCTGTAGGGTGCCTTCTAAATGCTGCATTCCTCTAAGATATGCTGGCACTGAAGTTACTCAGGAAAAGCGAGGATGGACAAGCTCACACACAGCCTGCGTTTCTGATTCTTACAATGGAGAGCTAGTTTTATAAGATTCCAGTGTCAGTAAGGATCTCATTCTTTATAATTTCCTGGCAGTATGGTTCTTTTCAAGTTTCTTCACTTGATGTACTATGTGAATTTGGCACATTCTTCAGAAAATATCCTGGAAAATGTTCCATTATTATTGCTATTGTTGTACTTCAGAATAAATGTTTTGGCAATGAATATAAATTATCTTTTTCACTTTCCCAACAAAACAAATTAAGATACAAATCACTCTAGCCAAGTGTTCTTAGCACATCTAAAAATATGAGAGAATCACTGAATCATTTTACCTGATTTTGAAACACTAGTAACAAAAAAAAGACAACTGTTAGCTTGTCTAAGAAGTCTCTTCTTTCTTGGTGATTATAATTTTGAGAGAACCCAAGATTAGATCAATTTTATGAAAATTTGGGATCAATTTCAATTAAAAATAATATTTTTTGGAATCTTATAATAACTTTTCATTTTATAATCTGGTGCTAGGAATTAACTGTTAAACTAATCAAGAAGAATTTATTTCATTTTCAGCAGATTTTTTAAATCTATGACCCTGCTCACTGTACCTTTCCATTTTCTTCATTATTTCTGAGAAGGTTATGGGTAACAGAATTCATGGAAAAATATTCCTAGCACCACTATATATTTTGGCTGATCAGAGATGATTACTTGTAAACATTGGAATTATGGCTAGCAGCCTATTTACACTGAAATTTACCAGTGTGTTTGTGTGTGTGTGTGTGTGTGTGTGTGTGTGTGTGGTACTTTGTGCAATTCTTTTGAACCACATAAAATTTTCAAGTCGAGTCTAAATGTCTGACAGTCTATATTTTGAGATATATATTTCAGTCTATATTTTGAGATATATATTTCAGTCTATATTTTCAGATAGATATTTCAGTCTATATTTCCATAAGTTTGCCTTTTAAAAGATCTTTAATAGCACACATTATTATTATTTGACCTTTTGTATATTTGTTTGTTTCTAAAGCACACCGTTTATTTCACATCCAGCAAACTAAGGGAGTAGAATGATGGGAGAAAGACAATACATTTTTTCTAAGGTACTTGCAGTCCTTACCTCCTCCCACTGCATTCTTACCTGACATGAGTCACACACACAGTCGACTCCAGACTTTTCTCCATGCCACTTTTCTCCATGTAAGCATAGATATCTCCATGGGCAAAGGCCACCAGCCACCACATGATGGCAAAGAGCAGCCAGCTGCAGAGGAAAGACATGGTAAAGATGACCAGCGTGTGGCGCCATTTCAGGTCCACCAGCGTGGTGAAGATGTCCTGAAGGAAGCGTCCTTGCTCGCGGATGTTCTTGTGCGCCAGGTTGCAGGCCCCGCTCTTAGCGATGAAGCGGGCTTTGGGGAGTCGATCTCGGATGCGCGGTTTGCGCAGGTTTTCCGCAGCGATGCGCGCCAGCACATACTCCTCCGGGATGATGCTCTTTCTGGCCAACATGGTCTGTCACCACGGCCAGCCTATCCACCTGCCTCTGATCTGTCTTCTTCCAAGGCTTGTCCTTTTGCATAGAGGGAAACAAGAAGAACAAGATATATATAACGTAGGGTTGCGGACAGAGATAAAAAGTAAAGACACAGTTGTAGATGAAATTATTTCTTCATTTTTGTATTCAGGGGCCTACCTCGCTATACATTGAAGAGGACATGCAAAAATAAAAGCATGATTTAATTGATCCAAACACGTACGTAACTTTTGCTTGAGTTCTGGGACCCCAAAGAAATTGTTATTTGGTCTGAATTGGGAAGATAATTTCGATTGTACATTTCATTCTCAACACAAAGAGGCATAACCTTAGCTAAACAAAACCAGGAGATTTGAAGTAAATGGCAGGTTCAGAGAGAATTCTCTGACATTAACCAGATTAAGGCAAGGGTGCAGGCTCAAAGTTTCAGTGGTGAAAATGAAGGCCAGAATGCAGTAGGGTCTATTTATTAAAGTATTCAGATGATAAAGCAGATGGTAAAAGTAAAGAAGGGGCATTTGTCCTTCGTTATTTTTAGATTTATACAAAGAAAAGGACGTGGGCTCTTGCACAAGTGTAAACGTGTTTAGTGTATCCTGACCGAATAAGAAAAAAAAAAAAAAATAAACACAAAAAAGCCCAAAACACCGACGATGTGCTATGTAACTTTAATACTACGCAAAATTATTTTAAAGCTGGAGGAAGAGTGAGTTGTGTTAAAAGACAGAAAAGCACTGTCCTGGAACTCATAATTTAGCTGGAAAACTTCTTTATAACGAAGGGTTCAGACATACAAGAAGAGCCTGCGGGCTGAAGATACAGTCTTAGCCAAGTGCTTGAAAAAGTCCGTCCAACGCTGTAAACCTGTGCTGTGCTTCGCGTTTTAAATCATTTGCGGGATGTGGAAAGTCTCACCCTCCCCCTCCCGGAGGAGCTTTGAAACTTACACACTCTGGGCAGCGGGCGCGGCGGCTGGACCTTCATACACGCGCCAGCCCACGACCGGCAGGTTCCTCGCTCTCCCATCCCCGCGCGCGGGAGCAGGGTCCGAGAGAGCGCCAAGACCAGATCCCGGGTCCGAGTGGTCTAAAGAGAAGAGATAAAAGAGTAAAAGATGTCATTGACTCTAAGTGCCGGGAAAGATGGGGGGAGGGGGCTGGTGCCGCCCGTCCCCTCTCCCTGCTCAACTTGACTCTCTTGGCAGAGACAGTGGGCAAAAAAGGAGGGGCTGGGGGAGAGGAGCTTCAAGATGATGCTCCACAAATCAGCCTCCGGGTTATGGCTTTGACGTGCGCCAGACCTCCGAGGCCGCGGCTGTGCCTGGGGTTGGGGCGTGCACGCGGAGGCCAAGGCGCGCGGGGAGGCAGGGAGCTGGCCTCGGGGAGGGGCGATCCCGCGCAGGGCGGGCCCTGCAGAGCCTGCTCTTTTCCCAGTAGCGGGGACCTCGGGCCGCGGCGTGACACACACGGCTTTAAAAGGCTCCCTGCACAGGGAGAGAACTTTCTGAGTCCAAGTGCACTGACGTAAGGAGAACTTACTTTTATTTTACTTTTTTTCCTTTTTTTTTTTTTCATCCTGGATGGATGATGCTTCAGATTGAGCAAAACCAAATAGACCAGAAAATATTCTTTCAAGGCTCTCCAGTTGATGTGTTTACATTATTTATGTTGTTAAGTTGCCTATAGCAGTAATACACAGATGGAAAGTACTCTGACCAGCAGTAATAAATTATTGATTCAGCAAACAAAGCCAGTTGGGGTTTTTGTGTGTGTGTTTGTGTGTGTGTGTGTGGGTGGGTTTTTTAAAAATTTTTTTTTTATTAGCGCAGCACATACATGCACACAACCAAACAGCACCATATCTCTAATCTTTTTCTTCCACCGGGATGGTCACTAGAATTGTAATTCGTAGTTTTCACTCCGCCCTCACGCCTACTCCAAAACATCCTCCTATAACAGAACGTACAGAATCCCAAATAGTATTTACTATTAATAGAAATCATAGAATATCATGTGTTAAATATGGCTGAAAACGGCTTACCTATGTTTCTAAGATTATATGAATGTAGTTGTTGATTGCCTTCGAGTGAAGCACGACTCATAGTGACCCTATGAACAAAAGGCCTGAAGCTCCTCTACAACTATTTATCAAAGTTCAGTTTCTGAAGGCATGTTGTTCAGGAAGTGGATGCCACTCATTCTGTAAAATCTGAACAGAAGAATCTTCTTTCTCTTTAATCACTACTTCATTCCCGAACAAGTTAAATTCACAAATGCTAATTACAATAATGTAGCTGTGCCAGAAAAGTTAAAACCAAAAAATCAGCAACTATAAAAACACCTGCAGTTGTGATAACAGCTGATTTAAAACATCTTTGTAATTGAGTAATAATGATAGTTCAGGGAGGAGCATATTAGGAAGTTCAAAAGGAAAATGAGCATAGGTCCTGAAGATGTTTTGATAAATGAAGGTAGGCTTATAAAAAAATGTTTTTGTTGTTATACCTTGTTGTTATTAGGTGGTATAGAGTCAGTTCCTACTCATAGCTACCCTAAACACAACAGAACAAAATATTGCTGAGTCTTAAACCATTTCCACAATAATTGCAGTGTGAGCCTACAGTTGGAATCACTGTGTCTATCTATCACATTGAGGGTCTTTTACACTGAGCCTCTTCTTTACTAAGTATGATATCCTTCTCCAAGGATTCACTGTGCCCTGATAATACATCCAGAATACAGACATGAAAGTTCTTCCCCTCATCTGTTCTAATGTGGTGTTCATTATCTATCCACTCTTTCCTGATTCCCTTCCCACCCACCTCATGTCTGTTCTATTTTATAACAGTGGGATTATGCTGTATTTGCCCTTTTATGAATGAGATATTTCATTTAGCATATTGGACTCAAGGCTCCCCCTTGTTGTGTAGTGTTCAACTATTTCATTGTTTTTCAGTGCTGCATAGTATTCACATTGTTGTGAATGAACTATAGTTTTTCTATCCATTTATTGATGAACATTTGCATTATATATTTGAGAACAATCTGGAACAAGTGCTGCATTGTGGCTTGGGGTGGGCTGAGGATGTGGAGAAAAAATGTGCAACAATGAATCAGAGAGAAAAAAGAAAACCCTCATGAAGTCTTAACGTCCTTATTTGTAAGGAGCATTTTGACTGTTCTGAAATAGATTTGTTTGTTCTTGAGTTATTCTAGTAGTCCCCACCAACATTATCATTCAAAGGCATCAATTATTTGGCCTTCCTTATCCATTGTCCAGCTTTCACATGCATATAAAGCAACTGAGAATACATTGATATGGATTTGAACACTTTAGAAAGGTCTTTTGGAACAAATTTGCCCAAGGCAATAAGGTCATTTAATTTCTTGACTGCTGTTTTCATCAGGGGTAATTATAAATTCAAGTAAAAGGAAATCTTGACAACTTCAATATTTTCTTCATTTATCATGTTGCTTGTTGTTAAATTGTGAGGATTTTTGTTTTCTTTAGCTTGTAGTGTAATTATTCCATTCAGAAAGACTCTCTTGGATCTTCAGTAGTAAGTGATTTTTATTACTTTTAGCAAGCGAGATTATGTCATCTGCATATGGTACGCTGTTGATGAACCTCCCTCCAATCCTGACACATATTCTTCTTGAGAGAGCCTGGCTTCTTGAGTTATCTGCCCAAAAAACAGAGTAAATATGGTAAAATTATATAACCCTGACACACACTATTCCTGATTTTAAACCAAAGAGTTTGCCCTTTTTGGGTTCACACAACTGCCTTTTGTTCTATGCATGGGTTCTGCATAAGCATAATTAAGTATTCTAGAATTCCATTTAAAAAATTATTATCCATAATTTATTGTGATACATATAGTCCATATGCCTTTGCCCAGTAATGAAAACACAGGCAAACATTTTCCTGCTGTCCTCTCCTTTCAGTCAAGATCCATCTTGGAAATGCTATTCCTTGTTCTACATCCTCTTCTGAATCTGGTTTGAATTTTTAGTTCCCTGGTGATGTACTATTCCAAACTTTTCTAGAATTTACTTTTAAATTATCTTCATCAAAATTTTACTTGGAATATAATGATTTTTAAAAATATTTTAAAAAATATTTTCAGCCTTCTATTGAGTCATTTTTATTTTTTTAAATGGGAACAGATAGAAATCTTGGTTAGCTAAATTGGTTGTCTTGCAGATTTCTTGGTATGGAGGCATGACCACTTTTAGCATTCCATTTAATTGTTGAAACATCTCAATTGGAGCTTAGTTCTTAGCCAATGGTTTCAGGACAAATTGGACTTGTCTCTTAGTCTTAGCTATTTTTATCATATGCTGTCTCATGAAATAGTTGAACACCAGTTAACTCTCTGTAGTACAGTGAATCCGTGTATTTCATTCAATTTCTTCTGATCCTTCCTGTGTCATTCAGTACTTTGCCCATAGTATCTTTCAGTATTGCAATTTGGAGTCCAGTTTGGGGTTTTTTTTTCCCCTTTAGTTCTTTCAGCTTGAAAAATGCTGGATGTGTTCTTCCCTCTTTGTTTTCGGACCCCAGCTCTTTGCATTCTTCTTTACAAAAGCACTGTCTTCTTTAGTTGCCCTTTGAAATCTTTCCACTTTTTCATTTCATCAATTATATAATTTGTTTAAACTACTCTACATTCAAAAGTTCAGGGTCTCTTTTGATATATCTTGCTCTTTTATTACTTGACTTTTATTGACCCTTTGCTTTCTTTGCATATGCTGTCCTTGAGAGCATCTCACAATTTGTGGTCTTTGGTCATGAATTGAAATGACAAGTTATTTTATTAAAAAATTTCTATTGAAATACTGCACCAAGGTTTTCTAGATAATCATTTTGCTCTCTCTCCCTCTGACATCATCACTTGGTATAGACCACCCATTCCCCTCACCCTCACTAGTGATGCCACTGGTCCCCTCACCCTATGAAGAAATTTGACTCAAAGCTGGGGCCACCATCAACACTTCAGCACTCAAACAGCCACTAA